CCCTAACCCCCCTCCTAAACCCCTAAACACTAAACCCTAAAACCCTACGCTGCACTCAGCCAAGTAAGGGTTGACAGCTGGTGCCATCAGCCTCCCTCACTCTTTTGGTGAGTCATGGTGACGTCATCAGCAGTGCTGATCACGTGTGACCTGGCTGTGCAGCTTCCACCCAGGTTGCATCCCTGTGGGTGTAAGGGTGGGGGTTGAAGTGCTGCACTGCTGACTCGGGCAAATCTGCAGGATGTAGCACTTGGCACCCCAGGTCAGACTGCTGCCCAGCCTGCACAGTTTCGAGCTGTGGCTGTTGGGGGCAGTCTGTGGACATCTTCCAGCACTCACACCGGCAGTCACAGCCATGGGGGAGGTGCTGGTGGGCTGGGGCCAGCCTGGGTACATCATACCTTTGATGATGTGCACAACACAAGTGAGGGGGTTTTGGTGTAGCCCTCCACCATGCTTGTCCCACCTTGCCATCCATTGGGCAGGTCCCACACATCCCCCTGATGACGCCCAACGCGTTTCAGGACCAGGTGGAATGTCTGCAGCCGCCATAACCTGCTGCCCAGTCATACAAGGGGTCATACCTAAACCCTAAACCCTAGCAGGGGGCCTTCGTCAAGCGGCGACACCAGTACTTTGCATGGCCGCGCGCCGGCGTGCGTCAAGCGGGGCGCGAGCACCCGTTTGAGGTTGGCGGCTGTCCGTCCTCTGCCCGCATTAATGCGGTGGCTGGGGGCGCGGTTGTGGATGGCTTCAGGTAGATGTCAGGCAGGCATGGATGGCTATAGAGCCTGAGGGGGGGATCGTCGGGCACAGCTGTGACACTGTGATATCGATCAGCCACAACAGCGTAAGAAGCACCGTGGCTACGTCACCTATCTAAGGTGTGCAGCAGCGGCGCCGTGGCATCAAACTGCTGCAGATGCGCACCTACTTGCTGCCGGCATCTTAACATTCATGCTGACGTAGACTACTCGTCATGGCAACAGCTTGACATCGTCATGTTTCAAACCAGCCATTGAGTTTTACATGACAAGCTTGTGCACAGTGCCACCAAAATGCAAACATGTGAGCGTGCCAACCAGCAGGTCAGCAGTAAGGTTGGCGTTCGATGCACAAGGCGCACGTGCTGCAACAATTGGCCATTGCCACACGAGTGCTGCAATGCAAGACAACCATGCTCACAGCATGTAGCTCATGGTAAGCTCCAAGGCTGCAGCTGTTCGTCTGTGCAAGGTGGATTGCTCATTGTGCAATCCATCAGCCATACGTAGCAGATATTCGTGCGCGGCAGCGGCGCATGGAGTTGAGTGGGTTGTGCTGCCACACGTCGCGGCTGTGTGAATCATTTTCTTGCTTCATTGGGCCGCATGCAAAATAACATAGCAGTTCTGCATCAGATGGTGTGGAGCTAAGCACCGGCAAGGTGCAAGGAGACAGTACGTGCGTGCGTCATGGAGATGCAACCATGCATCAAAGACACACACTCTCTAGTGGAGGCGACGCCCACGAGCTGAGTTCTTGGCAGGCGCAGGCGCGTCTGGAAGCTTGGCGGACGGCGCCATTTCGCCGCCGGCCGCCTTGGGAGCCACCGGGAACTCGGAGATGGAACCGTATGCGCCAAACGTGACGTAGACAGTCTGATGGATGTTGGGAGGAGGGGGCCGGAAGGGCGGGGAGGGTGCACCTCGATACAGACTCCAGTGCTGAAAGAACGCAGTGGCGGGCACCTGTGCTCACCCAGAACGAGCAGACCTAAACTAATGAACCACAACTTCATTGCGATAGACAAAATTAGCGACCACCCTTGCTTCTGGGCAGCCCAAGGACAGTCAACAAAGAGATTGGAAGGAATGAGTGCGCCGGTCCATCGCCCAAAAGTGAGGACAAAATCATGCATCATGCAACGCGCAGTCAACATATCGTGCCGGACAGAATATCAACAGATCATATCCCACTGCATGTCATGATGTATGCCTTGGTTTTGCCGTGCACCCACCTTGGCGGGAGCATCGCCCTTGGGTGCAGCCGATCCCTTGGCGGGCGCGGCGGCGTCGGCGCCCTTGGCGGGCGCGGCGGCGTCGGCGCCCTTGGCAGCAGGGGCGGCGGCGTCGGCGCCCTTGGCAGCAGGGGCGGCGCCCTTGGCAGGCGCGGCGGTATCGGCGCCCTTGGCGGGCGCGGCGGCGTCGGCGCCCTTGGCAGCAGGGGCGGCGGCGTCGGCGCCCTTGGCAGCAGGGGCGGCGCCCTTGGCAGGCGCGGCGGTGTCGGCGCCCTTGGCAGGCGCAGCGGCGTCGGCGCCCTTGGCGGGCGCAGCGGCGTCGGCGCCCTTGGCGGGCGCGGCGGCGTCGGCGCCCTTGGCAGCAGGGGCGGCGGCGTCGGCGCCCTTGGCAGCAGGGGCGGCGCCCTTGGCGGGCGCGGCGGCGTCGGCGCCCTTGGCAGCAGGGGCGGCGCCCTTGTCGGGGGCGGCGTTGTCGTCGTCCGCGTCGGCGGAATCCGCAGGGGCGTCGGCGTCCTTTGCAGTGTCAGCACCCTTCGCAGGCGCGGCGGCACCCTTGGCGGGCGCGGCAATGTCAGCACCCTTGGCAGCGGGGGCAGCGCCCTTGGCGGGAGCAGCAGCGTCGGTGCCCTTGGCGGCGGGGGCAGCGCTCTTGGCGGGCGCGGCGGCGTCGGAGCCCTTGGCGGGCGCGGCGGCGTCGGAGCCCTTGGCGGGCGCGGCGGCGGCCTTGGCAGGCACGGCAGCATCGGCACTTGCGTCATCCTCATCCTCAGCGGGCTCCTCGTTCTTGGCAGGCTCTGCCTTGGCGACGGGGGCACCTGCCAGACAAGGTTGAAGTGGCCGTTGTTGGGCATTGCACGGGGGCCCGCACCACACAGGCTGGCAACCTGCGCGTCCCCTTTGGGGCCCAGTGGCCCAAAAAATGACAGGGCAGACTGCACTCACAGCTCCGGCAAAGCAGTGCCTTGATGACCTGAACATGTCCAGCCGTCACTCACCCTTTGCGGGCGCAGCAGCGCTGGCAGGCGCGTCCTTGCTTGCAGCAGCCTTCACCACGGGAGAGGGGGAGGCGAGCAGCCGGCGGTGCGCAGCACCCTCCATGGCTGGTGCTGGGGTAGCCCCTGCCACAACCAGGGCTGTTGCGGCCAGCAGCAGAAGCGCAGCGCACTTGACGATTGAGGCAGCCATCTCCTCTGCAAACTGTGAAAGAGTGGACAACGGCGTGGGGGCCGACACTGACGATAGAGTTGCCTGCATCAATACGGGGCTGCTGGCCAGGTGTGCACAGTCACCTCCATTGCAGGGGTCACCCGCCATTTTGCCCAGGCAGGGCAGTGCCGTCAGGGATCATGTTTGCAGCTGTGGCGCACGCATGGTTTTCATCCATTGCTGGTACCCTGCGCACGTCTCCGCGCCTACCAGGGGGTGGGCCCAGCACGCCTGACCAAAGGAGCTGGATGGCTGCGCTGTGGGGGATGAGCAAGTGTGTTCCAGTAGCCTGCTGAACAAACTCCGCGCTGATTGGTAGAAGGTCAATTGAACTCGTGTCTGCGCTCATCAGTGGTATCACCCGGAGGAGCCGCCTAATGACGCGATAGTGCTGATTCCCCTGGCCGCATTGATCCGGATTTGGTAGCCACGGACGCGACCCCGGGCCAGCAAACAACTAATTCTGGCGCTATTCAAGCTCGCTCGTCAGTGCAGATCCGTCCGCAGGCAGTGTGTGCGCGGCGTCACCAGCAACGACGCCACTGGAGTCAAGCGTGCACGTGCCAATGTGCTGTTGCACCACCCATGTCAGTGTAGCTGTGTAGGCTGAGCACAAGCACGGTCGTTACAGTGTTCCCTGCTGCAAGCATATCAACATACAGTTTGCGAGAAGGTCTCAATTACATACAATATGAGAGGACCTTGTATTGCGCGTGAACGCCACCACAAGGTGGGATCAATCCTTCCCACACCAATGAAAGAGGGCTGGCGATAAAGTAGATGGCCATGGGACCTGGATGCAATAGTTGTAGCCTGCTTGCCACTTCCATGTTAAGCTTTAAGGGACAAAAGAGCATCTGTCGATGGCTACGGTGCAAATTGATTCCGCTGTGGCATTCAACAGCTACGCCTGTCACAAGGGCAGCCCTCGATTGCAGATGGCTGAATGTTTGGTTCAAGCAAGACAGAAACATCTCACAGCCTGGGGGGGGGCTGGAGGCACCTCATGCTTTGCATGTATCCAGGCTTTGTTGATTCAGTTCACATATAATTGCAACCGTGTCAGATATCATCAGACGCGGCGACGCCCACGAGCGCTGTTCTTGGCTGGCGCAGGGGCACTAGGCAGCTTGGCAGGGGGCGGCATCTCGCCACCAGCCGCCTTGGGCTTGTCCTCGTACTCCACAATGCCCCTCAGCGAGTCGAAGGCAATGTATGCCACCTGCAGACATGACGTGTGGTGAATGCGCAAGTAGATTCATTGCGTTCTGGTGATGACGCTGCAGCACCGGCGGTCTTCCAATCCATAATCGTTTGCGTTTTGCTGCCACCGAGCCAAGCGATCCCCCAAATCACCATTGCATTACGTAAAAACGAGCAATCGCCCTTGCAAGAACCTTTTCAGGCAATGGTTTGCTGCATAGGCGGTTCAAGCGGCGAACTCACAAGTTCCTACGTGCAGCGGGCTCACACATCCTGCCTCAACCCCACCACCTCCAACCGTGAAACTCGATGCACACAACTCGCCTTGGGCTTGCCATCTTTTGGCTTGTCTGCTGCAGCCTTGGCATCCTTGGGCTTGTCGTCAGCTGCCTTGTCGTCCTTCGTAGCAGTACCCGCCTAGGAATTGTTTTGTGGTTATACAAGGGTATGGCATTGTTGAACGTTACAGCGGGATGGGGATACCAGCGCGCCTCCCTAGCCATTTGACCTGCCCGTACCGCTACGCCGCCGAACAATACACCCACCATTTCATGTCAGGCAGGCGCACACAATTTCTGGACTGATGCAATCAGCAAGCCTACCTTTGATGGTGCAGCCACTTTGTCATCTTTGGCGGGCGCGTCCCCCTTTGGCGGTGCAGCAGAGTCTTTGGCCGGCGCTGCGGCATCGGCCGACTTGGCAGGAGCAACGGCACCGGACGACTTCGCTGGGGCAGCCGAGTCTGCAGACTTGGCGGGGGAGGCCGCTTTGTCGTCCTTTGCCGGGGCATCCCCTGTGGCGGATGCAGAAGGGGCTTTGGCCGGCGCTGCGGCGTCGGCAGACTTTGCAGGAGCGACGGTCTCAACAGACTTGGCGTCTGCAGACTTTGAGACGGCAGCCGCGTTGTCATCTTTGGCCGGTGCGTCCCCCTTGGCAGGGGCAACAGGGTCTTTGGCCGGCGTTGCTCTTGCCAGGGATCCAGCAGACTTGGCTGGCGCGGCTGCGTCTGCAGACTTTGCAGGGGCGGCGACGCTGGCAGCTTCAGTGTCCTGCAATGTGGAGTTGGTGGGCTGAAGTCAGTAGATTCGGGTTTGCAAGGGCATTGTTGGGTGGCGCCAGTAGTGCGAGTAAGGCCCGCTCTGCACAGGCACCCCCCCTGGCAACAACACCTCGTAACAATCACATGTATGTGTGCCCCAGCTGCGGGCCTTTGATGCTGATCAGCAGTCTCCATGCACCGCACCTTTTGGGGTGCTGCTGCCTCATTGTCCTTGGCTGCGGCATTGCCCGTCGTCGGCGCTGGCGAGTCCTTGGCAGCAATTGCGATGGGTGCCGACTGCTTTGGTGCAGGCAAGGCGACAGCTAACTTGGTGGGCTCAGACGAAGGTGTCGCATCTTTTGCCACCGCAGGTGGGCCCGCCAAAAGGTGCCGGGGAATGGCCCTGGCAGCCGGCAAGGGCAGCGCAGCAACATCTTGCGGTGTGTGGCCAGATTGAACACAAGCTGTCGTAGCGCCGGGGACGGCAATCAGGATGAAGGTAGCAAGTGATACAGCAGTGAAGCAGGATGCCATCATGGTGTCACGCCTGGGTCGCGGGGTGAGTGACACAGGGAGGTGTTTGCGGCAGAGTTGAGTCGGCGTGTGGATATCTTAGGTAGAAAAACTGGTGGCTGCAGGAAGTCCACACGACTGCCGGGTATGTGGTGTTCTGGGATCGGGTGGTGTAGGTGGGCTGCCGGGTGCCGTACCGCCGTCCCTCTCCCGAGATGGGCTCACGATTCCGATCTGTCATCTGCCATGACAATTCAGCAAGTGACTGCTGCACAACCCTCTTGAGCACGTTCAGCAATCCCAAGGCAGATCCCCAGGGCGTGGGCAATGGTCTTGCGGGCACCCCTTACCGGGCACGGCCTGTGGCAACCGCGCGGAATTGGAGATGGCGTCCCACGGCGCCCGGTTGAGCAGCTGACTGATACAAGGAGGAAAAATGTCGTGTACGCTAGGTGAATACCGGTAGTGTCGGTTGGAAAAATAGATCACGTATGCCTGGGAATCGAAGAGGTGGCGGCATCCTCTCATCCTCGCCTCACACATTCACGCGAGGATATCCAATGGATTACGGTAGTGCGGCTCGCCCAAGTGAGGACCTCTACATCGAGCAATTTCTAATGAATCAGCACTTTCAGAGCCTCCACCCAACAGGCGTGTCACTGACCCTCTTGGCAGTGGGTCCTTTGGTGCCAGCAGGCCGGTATGGTATGGGCAGCCATCCATGGGTTTAGCCAGCACAGCAAGCTGAAGAACACGTACAAGATGACTCGTGCTGCCTACAAAAATCGCTGAAACAAAAAATGTACCCGAAGCACCTCCTGAAATGACCGGCCCTTGTGTCCATCGCTGCAAATGCATTTTCACAACATGCGGCAGCCAATGAGTCAACCAACTTTCCTTGGCATCCCGCGACTGGCTGCCACATGCAAGGATGCTGTTGACAGCGTTGACCTGCCATAGAGGTGTTGCCCGGCCACGCGCAATAAAGGACATCTGAGGCTTGTTACTTGTGTCGGTCGTGGCGCACTGGCATTGCGTCGGTTGCACACCCGGATGGGCTTGCAGTCACAACCATCAGCCCTCCCCAAACTCGCCGGGCGCGGGCGCAAGCTCCTGTCGATCAAAGCGTTCCTCAGGGAAGAATGCCACCCGAACCTGGCAGTGGTTGGAATCAGGGGGCGCGGCGCTGGGGTTGGTGCTGGGGGGAGGGCGCGGTCGTCGGAGGTAAAGACACCCGCACCCAGGCACCCCCACAATGGACCCACACAAGGGTAGGGAGTTTTCAGGACATGCCACTGATGCAGCCTGGGAAGAGGCGCGAAGGGGAACAACAAGCCCCACAGCGCGCGTACCTCTTTTCCGCCAAAGAACCTGCCCTGGAGGTCTATGTTGGCCTTTACTGCAGAGTCGACCCGGTCAAAGGCGACAAAGATGCGGACCGCTTCCGCGGGCTCGTAGCCTGGACTCAGCACCTCAAAGATTTTCACGTCCACCACCTGCGAGGCACCGGGCAGGAGTGCGCGGCACGGTAGATACCAGGGGGGGGCTGTGGGTGCGGCAGCTGCAGGTGGTGACAGAGGGGTGTCAACGATAGAAAGACCTCAAGCACCCCAAGAAGGTTACCTATGAGTGCCGTCGCCGGGAACCCGCCAGGCTCCTCAGGCACCAAGCCTCCCTTCCCCACTCCCATCACCACCCCACCCCACTCCTATCCCCACCCCAGTGCCCCCGGCTTGCTTATCCATTCTGTCCCACCTGACCGTACTTGGACAGCTCCAAGCCAACCTGCACCGCAGCATACGGCCCAGCAGGGGGATCACCTCAGCACGGTGGAAGCTGCCGACACCGGCAGGCCCAACTTCAGCGCTTCCACCCGCTTCTCCTGGCAACCACCACTACTGCTTCATATGCAACTCCACCCCCCATCAACACATGCACACACACAAACACACCACCACCTTGGAGCCCACACCCACCCACCATCCCCTATGCATATCTATCCCGAACAACAACAGCAGCAGCAAGCAACCCTTTTCCGCCCGTCATCCTGCTGCAACATGGCATGCCAATCCGCAGCACCCTCGCCCCACCTCAACCCCCCACCCCCACCCCACCCCACCCCTTGGGCGCGCACCTCTTCCTCCAGGTCCTCATCCACCTGCCCAGGCCCCACCATGTTGCGCAGCACGAGAACACGGCTCGGGGGGCCCACAAGCGCAGAGCCCACACGCGGCCGCTTGTCGGGAGGGCCCTGGCAGTCGGGAGGAGTCGCGTTGCCGCCCGGGGGGGGATCACAGCCAAGCTGCTGCGTTGGCCTGGCTAATGCCGGGGCAGGCAGGACCTTGGGATGCCATCGCGCCGGCCGCCGACCAGGGCAGTCCCAATGGCCTCGCTCATATAAAGGGGCGCACCTCTCCACCCTCCTGCCGCGGTCTCTCTGGAGCGTTGACAATGACTGCCGCATGGTCACCGCGCTTCTGGGCAATGAGCGGCGTAGATATGCCCTGGCGATTGCGCCCCAGGCCTTCGCCCTCACGCCAACCCATCTTCTCCAGCAGCTTCTGAGCCAGGCCCAAGCCCTTGGGGCCACCCGGTCCTTCGGCAGCGGCTGCTGCTGCTGCTGCTGCAGCGGCAGCGGCGGCTGCTGTTGCTGCTGCTCCGGCTGCGGCGGTCTCCCCGGGTCCGGTGGCTCCAGGGGGCCCGTTTCTGCATGACGAAGGGAGGAGTGCAGCCCCAGCAAACTCTGGGCGCAAAACAATGCAGCTTTTGTAGCCAAGCCAATGCTGGTGTTAGAGCCCAGCGTATCTCGCAGCCAGCGGCTCTGAAACCATACATGACCCTGAGCGCACGCAAGCATGGCCGCCCCCACCTGCTCAGCCGGGCGCGCGCCGCAAACGCCTCCTCGCCGCTCAGCTTCAGCCGCCGCTCCCGCTCGTCCGCCTGGTGAGTGGAAGATTCAGGTGCTTACTGCCGGGCTGTGGCGACCAGCTGCATCATTACCAGCGTGGAGGAGGGACCTGCACCACCGCCAAGCTCAGACCACCGTGCTCTCAGCAGTCAAGGGCAAGAACGCCCCTGTTGGCCTGGGACAGGCGACGCAGCCACAGCAGGCGGTCACTCACATCCAGGGCGCCAGAGGGCTCCTGCTTGACCTGCGCCCCCTCGCCCGCGACAGGGGCGCCGCGCTCCGCTGACGGCCGCGACATGGCCAGGACCGCCGCAACTGCCTCGGCCTGTTCCCGCTTCCGCCGCTCCGCCTCCTGTAAATTGGCAGCAGGGCAAGATGATGGGTGGCAGGGCAAGATGAACACGCATTTTGTGTGATGCTGCAAAGGGGTGCAGGCGCCCAGGAGCAGTGCACGCCACCAGGTGCACGCCACCACGAGACAGTTCTAGAACCTGCACATGGCGTCCCCCCACAACCGCCTCAACCACAGCAATCTCAAACCCTCCAGCCCCCGCCACAGCCGAGCAATCCGGCCCAGTGGCGCCCACCAGCTCCGCCTCCCGCTGCCGCTTGACCCGCTCCGCCTCCTCCTCGGCGTCGCGCCGTTTGCGCTCCCTCTCGCGCAGGACGTCCTCGTAGTCATTGGGACGCGAGGGGTCATACTCATCGGCTATAGGTTCACCGTGGGTGCTGAAGAAGCTCAGGGCCGACACCACAATAGGCCCACCGCCACCGCCACCGGCACCGCCGCCACCACCCGCACCGGGCTCCGCCGCATCGGCAGCGCCGCCTCTGCCACCTCTGCTTGGCGCCGCGATGGATCCCACGGGCGCAGGCCCAGGGCCTCTGCCGCTGCCACGGCCAGCCGGGCCTGGTAGCGTGCGGCCAGCAGGGCCGGCGCCTCGGCCGCCGGCGCCAGCACGCAGCACGGACGTTGGGGCGAACCCGGCCGGCTTGCGCAGCGTTGGCTGCAGTTTGGGCGCCGTGCCTGACCATCCCTTGTTCGTTCCAACGCCGTCCTCACTCTTGGCCTGGGGCAGGTCGCCATAGAGGCTCATGACCGCCACCGCCGCCCAGCAGCAGGGTGCGCCGCGCTCCCTCCCGCAGCGCACTGCCACCTCCTGGCCGCGTTCTGCTTCGCGATAGCAAATGCCTGGCTGCTCTGCCTCTCCGCAAGCCCTATCGTTATCATCTACTGTTACCACGAGGATAACCGTGCTGTTTAATGGTTTGGTGCGCGAGGCTGATCTACAGTACGCACCGCAATGTGTTGTGGCAGTGTCCGCTTGTTGTCGTATGTAATGTGATGAAGTGGTGTATACCCGATTTATCCTGGTTATCGCAGTACCGTACTCGATCAAGGCAAGCACGACGTCACCGTCGCCCGCTGCCCAATGACCTGTGTGCGCATCTGCTGCGCACTTGCGCACTTGCGCAGCTCTGCCACAACTGCCATGCACGGTCAGGATGTCAGCTTGAGCCCAGAAACGTTTTGTGTTTTACAGGCTACCAGTGGCCCATGTGACTCTGCTTGACAGCTGTTTCGCCCATGTCACTGCTCAGTGCTTCTGCAGCCCAGGGTGGGTCCGCGAATGTCGGAAGGGGCCCCCTCCTGCTCGTCCAACCTCATAGAGCTGCAAATCTTCAAGAAACATACGTGTTTCTGATGGGAATTACAAATGCACGTGAACATGCATTCAACAAGGTGCTCGTGAGGCCTAGCACCAAGTGCAGGTTTGCCGCTCGAAAACGCAAGACACTCTCACTGGAATCAACTTCTACCAGCTCAGACTCTCCAACTGCATGAAGCGGTGTGAACTCGTACAACCAACAATGATTTCATTTCAAGTTAAGGTAAGCAAAGCACAAACAACCGTCCGAGCCGCTGCTGCTGTCGCACCCTACACTCTTGTGTGAGCTCTTGAACAATTCAACCCCCCTTTCAATCTTTCGTGCTCATCATTCCCGCATCTCGTCGTCATCGTCGTCGGGGTCCTCCACCGTGTAACCCATTGGCTCCAGGTTTATGGGGCGCTTGCCGTTGGAACGCGGGGTGGCGGCGCCAGGCAGCACCGGCTTGGGCTCGGAGCTGTAGGCGAGTGTCCCCGTGATACCGCTGTAGTCGCACGTGACCGTGGTCGAGTCCTCCAGCTCGCCGCTGATGATCATGCGCGACAGGTCCGTAATGCTGAGATGAGGGGTTGAAAGCGGGGAGTGGGGGCGGCAATGAGCGTGAGTTCAGGGCCTGAGGACACATCGCTGGGTGCGCAGCCCAAGCAAGCAACACCAAACAACCTCCAGGCAGCGGCGCAGAGGAACCCTGGTGCAATTTCCAATCACCACTCCCTGTTTGCGAAGAAATCAAGATCCAGCCGACCCCGCTCACATGTGGTGCTCCAGCCAGCGACGCAGCGGCCTGGCACCGTATGCGGGCTCGTACGATGCTGCCACGGCGTACTCGAGGGCGGCGTCAGTCATGGCCAGCGTGATGTTCTTGGGGGCCAGGCGGTCGTTGAGCTCCTGCGCCATGAGGCGCGCCACCCCTATGAGCTGGCCCTTGGCCAGGGGGTCGAAGCACACGATGTCATCGAGACGGTTGAGGAACTCAGGGGGGAAGTGGCGCTTCACAGCGCCCAGGGCCAGCTCCTTGGCAGCTGCGGGGAAGCAGGGGGAGGGGGAAGGGGCAGGGGGGAAGGATACGGAGGAAAAATTGAAAGGCACTCAAAACAGCCGCCCACAGAACACCAGAGTTGAGAATCATGACGAGGCGTGAGCGAGCTGACAACACCTTAAGCTGGTCACCGCTGAGCCTCAGTGCACCCCGGACCAGCAAGCAGAGGGGGAAAATACTCACCAGCCATGGTCACGGGCGTGCGCGGGCGGCCAGCGTCTGGTGTGGTGGGCCTGCTGCTCTGTGCAACAGCTGCCTCCAGCAGGAACTGGCTGCCCAGGTTGGACGTGAGGATGACGATGGTGTTGGCGAACGACACGGTGCGCCCCTTGCTGTCCGTGACCCGGCCATCATCCAGGACCTTGGATGGGGGAGGCGGAAAGAGAGTGGCCGGTATAAGAGGGCGGCTTGGCAGAAACGTGAGCAAAGACAACAATTGTAACATTCATGACTTGCTTGCCAAGGGACCCTCCGCGGCAGTGTGAAATATTGGGTTCGCCGCGCCCTCACCACACTGGTACCTTCACCACCAATGAGCTATCAAGCGCCGTGCTTTCAGCTACACGCCAGGCACCGTGCTGGTCCACCACTCTCCACATGCCAGCCGTGCCTCGGCTGCCCCGCACCCCCCCCCTCCCCTCACCGACAGCAGTATGTTGAAGACCTCGGGGTGGGCCTTCTCCACCTCGTCAAACAGCACCACAGCGTAAGGCTTGCGCCGCACCGCCTCTGTCAGCTGGCCGCCCTCCTCGTGGCCAACGTAGCCGGGGGGCGCCCCCACCAGGCGGCTGACGCTGTGCTTCTCCATGTACTCGCTCATGTCCAGGCGGATCATCATCTTCTCGTCATCAAACAGCTGGGGTAGGGCGCGGCACGATAAAGTAAGGGGGGGGATGAAAGAGAGCGGGGTGCAGCAAGATTGTTTGCACAGATGCCAGGTACTGATGCGTCCAAGCAAGGCGACTGGCTGAAACCACAATCCAATAGATACAGCCCCCTGCCTGCCACCCAAAGGTGTTTCCTGCCGGACCCTTGGCGTCTAATAGGTGTGCCCACCGCAGCTGTAAACGGTGGGGCTACAATTTCCAACCCGCCACGGGCAGCCCTGTACCTTGAGCCCACACACACAGCCCTGGACCCTGAACATAAACCTGGCCAGGCCACCCACCCACCTGCTGCGCCAGGGCCTTGGCCAGCTCCGTCTTGCCGACCCCGGTGGGCCCCAGGAACAGGAAGCTGCTGCCGCGGTTGCGCGCCGCCAGCCCTGCGCGGCTGCGCAGCACCGCGGCCGCCACTGCGTCGACCGCGGTGTCCTGCCCCACGACCCTCTTGTGCAGCTCGGCCGCCAGGTGCATGAGCTTGTCGCGCTCTGTCTGCTGCAGCCGCGTGGTGGGGATGCCGGTCCAGCGCGACACCACCTCCGCCACCTGCTCAGTGCCCACCTCCTCCGCCAGCATGGGGTCGGCCGGCACCGCCGCACGCAGCCGCTTCAGGGTGTCGTCCACCTCGGCCATGCTGGTGGGTAGGGGGGATGGG